AAAAAAAAAAAAAAAAAAACGCTAAACGTGTTTCTCGCTCAACAGATTCACTCAAAAGTGTCCCGTTCCAGGAAAAAATAGAAAATCCTGCCCAGGTAGCACTAGGCGTTCCAGGGATCCACTAATCAACTCGATTCACGAGGTCTGCAAATCGCATCATCTAATCGTAAGCGAAAGGAATTTATAATACTATTAAAAGGATAAATTTTGAGAGAAGGAATATTGTTAAAAATGCGCAACCAAAATATTTCAAACTCAGCCCCAAGCTATGTGTGGTACTCACGTAAAGGTGTATGGAAGTTTCTGCAGGAAAATTACTAACTCGGCAACCAGAAGAGCTAGAAGACTGAAATTTCAAGCAGATGTTCCCTGTCCATGCGCAATTAAAAATTGTCAAAATTAATTTGCAAATCTCAGTTAGTTCATTTTAATTTTTATCGGCTATCAGCAATTATCGGATCGCAAGCTCCTCAATACGGCCAGAAATTCAATTAATTATGAAAGACTGGAGTTTTGAGCTAACTAACCTGTGAATGTGTGAACGGTGGAGCGAAACTGGCAGCACCGGCGGGCACGTGAAAACGAGCAGCGCAATTTGGGCACTGCACCAGCAGGCCCGGCTGCACAAACGCAGTGGCCTGCACGAACGGACTGGGCGTCTGCTGCAAACCGGGCGTACAATAAGCACCGTACCAGATCGGACTCGCCATCCCCTGAAAACCCCCGCTCACAGGCACTCATCAACACGCAAATGACTCGTAGCGCAAAAAAATAAATAAATAGCGGAGCGCACTAGGGCAGCCGCCGGTGCGATCATGCGTTTTTTGCGGGGTCACACGTGGGTGGGGAACGTTCGGCCGTACACGTTACCCGTGGGTACGGGGAAGCTGAATTTAAATTTGTGGGGTCACACGTGGGTGGGAAACGTTACCCTATTCAGCGCTTTTCCTAGCTTTTGTGGTTTCCGAGTTGAAAGTTGCGGACAAGTTGCTGCGGACACACACACACACAAAAGAATTCAGCGCCCTCAAAACAAAGTAACTCAAGCAATGACTGTGTGGGAGCTAGAACAATAATGATAATGAAGCAATTACTAAAATTTGGCGGCGCTTGACTTGCGCCCGATTAGAGGAGGGGAAGGCCTAGCGATTGTGGGGTATCCCAATCGGGCACGGTAGAAGTGGGTGAAAGCGTCGGGATGCTGGTTTAGGTCGCGCGAGGAGCGAAAGAGACTTGAGGAAGACTAGAAGGGAGCTGGGAACTTGCTTGGAGGTAGGAATTGATAACACAGAGGCGGGGACTACGGGGGAAGGATTTTTATGGATCCACGATACTAAGGTATGAAAAAACTAGATTAAAATTAGATTAATATTTTTCATGCGCGTCACTTTTCTTGTTTCACCACTGCTGGCCAATTGGCCACCTCCAGCCACAGACCAGAGGCCCCTCTTACCTCTGCGACTAACAGCAAGGCTAATATTTTTAATATTTTTA